GAAAGAGAGGACAGAGAGCCAAAGTGCACATAACGGTGGAGAAAACTCTGTGTCAGGTTCCCCTTCCACATCATCATCATCGGCTGCCACTGCAGCTGCCAGCCCCTTAGCTCTTAACCCCTTACTACTGTCCAATATACTTTATCCAGGGATGCTTCTCACTCCAGGCCTTAATCTCCATATCCCAGCTTTGTCCCAGTCTAATATTTTTGATGTACAGAACAATGAAAGCAATGGCACAGGCTCAGCTAACCCTACAGAGGAAAAGGAGGAAAATTCTAGGGTTCAAGATCAAGAAGACAAAAGGGGAACAGAGCCGAGCTCTCGCAATGAAAACAGCACAGATGAGGGTTCAGAGAAAGCTGACGCATCCTCTGGCTCCGACAGCACGTCATCCTCGTCCGAGGATTCAGATTCTAGCGATGAAGACTGACCCCAGGCTCTGCACTTAAATTATAAACTGATTTTGAATTTATTCTTTAATTATTTTGTTGTAAATAACCCAGTGTGGAGTGAGTGCATCAATAATTTACTGACCGAACATTTCAGTATTGGTTTAAAAGTGCAAACTGCTTTCAAAAACATTTTGCATGTAATATTTCTTGACGTTCATGAGTTTCTGAACTTGTATGTACTATCAAATACACAATTGTGTAAAAAGAATTACAGCAAAAGGCATTATAATTTTTGTTTTGGGGGTTAATTTTTTAAATAGCTTAGTGAGAGCTGTATATTTAATATATTTGCAGTGAACACACTTCTTTATGCTCATTATTGATTTAATCTGAATATAGTTTTACAGCCTCCTTGACACTTATAATTTACAGATCAAAACTCAGCAATAATTTGGGCAGCTAATGAATGTCATGAAAGCTGTAGAATCTACATCACCATCCATTGCTTTAATTACATGAAAATGCTCTAGTGTTGTGATGCACTGCTGATGTTTCCAATTCAGGTACAACTGTGTTTAAAAGAAAAGTTTCCCATTCAGCCAAATAAATTGGCTACTTGTTACCTCAGCTGAGTTAGTTTAGGAAGTTTACATTGGTTTCTCTACTTGTTTTCATATTCTGCTTTGCTTTTTAAAGGCATCCTGTGTATGTTAATTTGGTAAGGGAAATTACCATTACAGTTGCACTCTTTTAATAGTTAAAGGGAAATTTTGCCACAGATCTATCCCTTTCCTACCTTTCTTCGACACCATGGATACCTGTTTAGTTTTAAAATCTTTGCTCCTTCTACGGCCTTCATGTTGTTGAGGAATTTTATCCACAAGTTGAAATAACTCAAAAGTGCCACTTTCAACACTGCATACTTCATGTATAAGGATTAGATCCTTGTGAGAATGGCTTGTTCGCTTTGTCTGTCTAGATTTTGGTTTTGTGTTTGTTTGTCATGTAAACTCCTGTAGTTACCAGTTAATAATGGTAAGGGGAAATGTAGACATGTTAAAATTCACATATTTCTCTACAGGTTTAATCTGACTATCTAGAAAAATGTTACCCAAAATCAAGATTTAGGGTATCATCAGTTAATTATAATAATGCTGAGTTGCCCAATAACTTAAAGCACTTTCAACAATGATGTGAGAAATGTGTTCCATGAAACCATGATAATAACAGTGCTTAAAAAGCATCTGTTTGAATAGAAATCCTTAGAACCTTACTACATAAAATCAATCTTAACATTTAATGTGTGATACAAGTCCTTGTTCTGCTGAAGCTGCTATTACTCTGACATGGTAGAATCACAGATTCACACCACATGGTGGAACTGACTGAGATTAGGTGTGAGTTTGTGCTGAGCTCACATATGGTCCAAGGATAGGCAAATGTCGATGGAATGGATAAAAGTACTGGCGTTAGTCAATGACAAACCTTTTCAAAAGGGAATAATTTAATAAAATCTGTATTTTGATATGGTTCTGTTGCTTGCTTGTACAGTAAACAAGACTGTGTTGTTTTTTACCAAGATCTTTACCAATAAAAAATAAAGTTTGTACATGCAACATAATTAACCCCCTTTACTAGAAAGCAGTATTACATGTAATTACACAGTTATAAAAGTTTCATTTGGATTGTGCTGGTTATTGTATTCCCACCCCAAGAATAGTATGACTTGTTTGGCCCTTCATGCATTCTCCTAGCAATAGTGAAAACATGCCACAAGAAAAGGGGTAGCAATTCTTCATCATGAAAGGATGTATTACATATTTAATATTTTGCCCTTTGTAATATAGCACTTTTGTTTATCTTCTATGTATCCATGATATAGCCAAAGTTTTCCAAACACAGTTGTTGACTTAGTCAATGGAGTATTTCAACAATACATCACTTTGCACCATCCCCCTACATACCTCCCCTAAAAGAAATCCTAAGCATAATTTTTAATAAATTTATGAAATAAAGTATTTTCCTAATTATGGTCAAGTGAATTTGCTTACCATTTAGTGATCTTTCTCTGTAATAAGGCAATTTTAACAGTTTCAGTGTATGGCTGATGAAGATTTGAATATGAAATAAAGGTTTGAGTTTTTTTTTTAATTGGTATAAGTTGAAAGATAATAAATATGTAGTTCTGTCAGCTAAACAGTATGCAAGTGTGGCTGCATCAACTCAAGGGTTGTGAGGAACCTTCATTTGAAGTACATTAATACTGAATTTTCAGTATAAAAGATATCCAAGATGGTGAAGAAGTATATGTTGGTAGTGACTAAAAGAATGGTAGCTGTTATTGCCTTGTATTTCTATCCCTTGTTTCAGGTTTCATGATCCGTCTTAGTCCTGTTTTTCTTTTGGAAATTTTGCAATATTTGCCAGTTGTGTTCTGTGTAGTCTGAATTTGCTTTCTTGTAGTTGAACAAGCGTCTTAAGTCATTTGTAATTTATTGAATTACTTTCTATGATGTTCTATAGAGCAAATGGAAGTTTAATTATTTTTTATTAAACATATTCTTTGACAACCCATGACGTTGGCCTCAGTACATTAAAAATGCCTTTTCGTTGTTACGCAGAACTTGCATTAAGACTCAAGTAATTGCCATAGTAATTTTAAAGAAACTGCCTTATTATTTTCTGCAGATGCATTTGAGCTGTCAAAATATCTTGCCTGGCAATATTTATTAGATTTATGTCCTGCCCCATTAGTCAAAAAGTCTCAATAGAGAATTAGTTTCTAAAGTGTATAAAAGTGTTGAGAAATATCTTGAAAGGTGCAATTAAGTGATCTTGTACATGTGAATGCTAGAAAAGGTTTCTCTACATCCAAAGTTTGTTCATTCCTATTTTCTCATGAGTAATGTTTCTAGGGAACATTGAAGGATGCATGCAATGTGCAACATTATCTCAGCATGTGCATATTACATGAAAGTATGTGAGCTAACTTATGAAATGAAAAAAAATACTATTTTGTGTTAGTGAACAACATTTTGAATTTTTGTACTGCCTAAGTTACAATATGTGTTTATATAACTACATTGAATGGAATGAATTCAGCAAGTTACGGGTATTATGTGTGTGACCTTACTGTGTATCATGGCCGTTCTGTATTTTCTTTAACTTGTTTCAGAACCAGTTTCTGATGCAAGTAAAAAGAGTTAATCATGATTGAGTAAGTATACAGTTGTATGGTGGATTCTGCTAAGTGCATCTCAGTCTTGTTGGTACATAAGCAATCATTACCATATGTGCGGAAAAAGTGATATAAACAGTTAACATATGCTTTTTACGCTGCAGCCTTAAACTGACTAAATTGATACTGTATCTGATAGTGAATAGACAGAACTTGCAGTATATGCTGTTATTTTCTAATGATGCATTTTTTAAAGTTAAGGGGTAGTGGGTGTTGAGAACTATTGTGTATGCAAATTCCCACCATCTTGGAATTAAAGGGTTTCTTGGCGCTTAAAAAAATGCTAGCTGGACTAGCCCACATTTATTTGAATCTAATGGAAACTTGGCAAACATTGTGTCTAAAATACGAACATGTAGATACTGTATGCTGTTGTTTTTTAGAAGTGAGAGTTTACTTTCCTTGATTATGGGCAGGGACAACGTGTGGTGTAGTTTAGAAAACCAGTATATAATATGCAATGAAACAAGACATTAAGCCTTATCCTATGCGCAGTGCTGGCTAGCAGCTCCAATTTCTGCGGGGCAGTGCGGCCACCTCGGGTGCCCGTCTCCACTTTTCAGGAGCTGTCCAAGTTGTTGACCCTTCATGTTCAGCACCATAGATAGTTCCTTTAAGGTTCAGACTGAAACCAGGAGTGAGTAGCCCTCTCGCTGACATTGGAGCCACTGCCCTAAAAGCTCGGTTTGGTTACCTGAGGTTTTGAGCTGGAGTTTCTTTGAAAAGTCGCGTAGGTGCATGCTGTTATTCCGTTCTGAGCCTAAATTGCGATGCAAAACAGACAATCATGCTTGTAGTTTGTCGACAATTATTTTCCAAATTAGATCTGTCGGAAAGGTTTTAAAAGGATTTCACGCCTGAGCAACAAGGGAAGGAAAACGGAACTGGCAGGAAGAAAATGAGCAAACTAAGGCGCCTCTTCGCAGGTCCTACAGTTCCGAGATGGGACCAGCTGGAAACCGAAAAAGCAGGACCGAGCAGTTTTCTTTTCCTGGACCCTCGCCCGATGCTAGGCTTCCTGGGAATTGTAGTGTCCCAGCCTCCTTACGCCCTCGACGCTCAAGCGCTCCGATTGGTTGCTGGCGTAGAAGCGGCCCGCTGATTGGTAACTGCGCCCCGCCTCGAATCGAATGAGGTGTGAGGAGAGGGGAGGCGCACACGCGGCGAAGTGTTTAGATTCGAACGCGGCGGCTGTGCAGGCAAGTGGGCGGGGACTGCATTCTTCTCGCCCAACGCACCGCCCCCTCCCCTCCCCCAACGCACGAAAACAGTGCGCGGCGCAGGCGCAGTGGTAGCCTGGCGAGCGCCGCGTCCTCCGAGCGCGTCGCCGGCGCCGCCCGTGTCCGCCGCCGCCGCCGCCGCCCGACCCTCTGCCATCGGGGCAATGCTGGGCGGCGACGAAGGGGGAGAGGGGGAAGAGGCCGCGGCCGCCGCGCCCTCGCCGCGCCCCGCCGCCTCCGCCTCGCCCTCCCCGACGGAGGAGGCGGGGGCCGCCGTCCTCGCTGCCCACGCCCAGGAAGCGGCGGCCGACGATGAGGAGAAGAAGGGCGGCGAGGACGACGACGAGGAGGAGGCCGCGGCCGCCGAGGCCGAGCAGGACACCCGGCAGCGCTACGAGGAGCTGTGCAGCAGCCTCAACATGGACGAGCGCGCCCGCGCCGAGGCCTGGCTGAGCTACCAGGGCATGAGGAGGAATTACACCCTGGAGGTGGGCGGGGCCGGGGGCGGGGCCGGGGGCGGGGCCTCCCCTCCCCTGTGCGGGGCCGCCCCTCCCCTGCCCTCCCCTCCCCTGTGCGGGGCCCCCGGAGCGGCCAGGCGGGGCAGCGGTGCGGGGGGTGCCGTCCCGGGAGCCGCTCTGCTCGGGCCGCCAAGTCGGACTGCCGTTCCCCGCGGCGGTGCCTGGTCCAGCGACGCCCTGTCACAGAGGCGGCCCGGCCCGGCGGCTGTAGGGCAGCTCCCGCAGCCGCGTGCCCGCTGCCCCGCTCCATCGCTTTGGGTCCCCCGGGCAGCAGGTCACCTTTGGTACCTGCAAGATTCCCGTCGCAACTTGGCAAGACATGCTATAGGGCGAAGTGACTGACTGGTAAACGGCTGTCTGGGGGATGAATTTGGCTATCTAGGGATGTAGGGGGAATGGGGGGCTGTTTCTCTTTCTATTAATGCTTGGCAGCACATGCTGCTGCACGTGTGTATATATGAACCTCTGAACATGGTACCGACCTCCACTTCTTGCCCATTGACTCTTATCCTTATCCAGAGAGGTCCGCCTGGCGCCATCGTTATTTGTTTTTCGGCGCCAGGCCAAGACCTTTTTATTTAAACGATATTTTAATAATTGTTAATATTATTTATTGGTTTTAACATTTTTAGCCAGGATGTATCCAGATTTTATATGTATTTATCTTTATAATTGTTTGTTTATGATGTTGGAAGCCGTCCTGAGGCTTATGCGAATGGGATGGCATACAAAAATTCCAAATAAGTAAATAAATAAAATAAATCCTGTCCTCCAACCCTCCCTTCCACACAATCATGACGAGAAAATTGTTTCCCAGCTGCTATTAACCATGGGAAAAAGAGGTCTCTTATTGCATGGTTAGGTCAAAGCGTCTGCACCCCATAATGCTAAAACTTGTGCTAGGACTCTGGGACAGAAAAAGGAAAGCAGCCGAGGGTGGTGACTTGCCCCATACAGATGATAAATGAGTGAAACCTGGTTTAGGACAATAATGGGCAATCAGAAAATTGGTTATACTGCTTCCGATTGTGAAGTTAACCTTTTTATGTAAGCCAATTTACAACAAAAGCCATTCTGGCTTCTAAAAGTATCTCATTTTTAGATGGCCATCCCATGCATTGAGAGCCATGGAAATCAGCAGTGAGTCTCACAGAGTTCCCCCACAGCTTGTATATTCAAATATTCCCTGGTCTCACCTTCATCCCTTTGTATCAATATTTCTAATGTTAAGATTAAAACACATTTGATTACTTCTGGCAGAACCCCAGCAAGGGAAGGTTTTCTGTTTGACAGAAAAACAGGGACAGAAATAGAGGAAAAGCAAGATCAGTATCTAAAAATGTTCTTGTCCTGTTGGTAAGAAATGTTGAAACCACTTCCTTTTCTGTTAAAAAAGCAGTCTTGTCTGATCCTGTTAGTTTACAGCAGTTTCACTTCTGTTACATGCTTTGTTAAAACATGTCTTTCCTTAATAAGTACTCCCTAAGTATCCGCTGGCATTTAGGGAACCGTGGAACTCATTCTGAGTGCTGAAGGGGGATTTCGTCTAGTGTTTCTCTAGTGGCAGCTTCTTCCCAGCCCTCCCAGTACCAAATGGGGAAATACACTTGAAACAACTGGAAGGAATGGAGTCATGATGCTAATTCCTAGTCATGCACTCTGGTTGTAGCAGAAGGAAGATGCTATTTCTGCTCTAGACATTAGAGAAGGCTCAGCTTCTTCTCTTTCTTTTGCTATAACAGGGGAATGATCTGCATTGGCTAGCATGTTCCTTATATGTGGCTTGCAGAAAAGCTGTCCCAACAGTTAGTAGAGGAACCGTTGAAGGAAACTATGTATCTTTAATAAGGATATTACGCTGCTCAGGACAAAGGTAACATCCTTTTTTAAATTCCAGTAACTATAAGAAATTGCAAATTTCAGAAACATTTTTTGCCAAATCTTGTGTTTTGACACTAATGAATGAATTGCTGTAGTAATAATGCTGTTATTATATATGCTTTCTGGGAATACAGAAATCTGGGATGAACCACTGAGTAAAATTCTTCCTTTAAGAGAGGACATAGTTTTATTTTTCTGTCAGTCAGAGCTCTGCTTGCAACATTTCCCTTTTTGTAGCAACAGTATACTTTTATTTCCTGTCCAAACATTTTATTAACGCTTGTTTCATTGTAGTGGACTAGCTAGTAATGCACAAACCAATTGGCTTGTTAAAATGTTGGTATTAAAAGATTTTGTAATGAAAAGCGATTCACTTCCATTAATGTAGCTGTCAAACACAGCTTGTCTTAAGCTGCTTTAAGTTGGAAAGATCTTGCATCAAATTCCTTCCAGGTTTCCTTAAGATTAGGAGATGTTAGAAAGCTTTCAATAGGATGGACTAACAAAGAAATTCTTAGGTCTGCTTTATGAATATTCAGACCAGTACCTAATTATAATATACATGAGTTCACCATAGTACAATGGAATCGGAAGCGGAAACACCACATATGTTATATTGTGGCTGGTGAAGAAAATCGTTCTACTTAACTGATCCAGGGGAAAAAGACATTCAGAGGAACAGACAGCATGACAAAACAGTGGTTTTAGCTACCTGAAATTTGAGAAGTCTAGAAATACTAAGATTTTCTATTATACTTCCTGCGTAATTCCTATTTCTGACATGCAAGGTTACATTAAATTATAATCAGTTATTAGTGAGATGTTTTAGAATGCTGACATTTAATCAAAGTAAATTGCTGATCATTTAAATGTCTTCAGTTTGATAGAGTTTTTTAACAAGATGAAGAAATGGGAAGATATGGCAAATCTACCCTCCCAGTTCAGAGAACGTACCACAAGATTAGAAAGAAACTTTACAGTTTCTGCTGTAATTTTTAAGAAGTATGAACCCATTTTTCAGGACATTTTCAAGTATCCTCAAGATGACCAACCACGCCAGCAGAGAGGAAGAAAGCAAAGGTATGCATTCATTACGTATACTATGATTTTAACATATTTTGCTTTATTTTTCTGAGCATTGTTCCTTATCACGTCAGCTTAATTGTGGCCAGCTTTCAAACTAGCATGTCAAACACTTTGTCAGAATTGCAAGTAGCTGCTTAGGAAGTTATCGCACCCCCCTTGTTCATATCTCTGTACTCACACCACCACGAGCGGCTCTCTCACAGCCACATGTCTGTGCAAGTTTGTGGCTGATACAGGAATTAGTCTTCTTAGCCACATGTTCACTCTTCTGGCTGCAATAGCCTTATCAAAAGGAGCAGCTCTGAAAGCTGCATTGGCAGTTCATTCTTGTTTGCTTGCGGGTTGCCAGCCTGTCAGTCGGGAAGGGAAAGAATAAGGGAAACCTGGTATGGAGCCTCCATAGGATAGCCTTGGGTGTGCCTTCCTGAATTTCCAAGAGAGAGACGGGGAGTGTGTGAGAGTTTAAAGCACTTCATTAAATCAATGAATATGTAATAATTTTTATTTTACGGCTTCAATTCTGAAAAGGCGTCAACCATGCACAGTCTCTGAAGTTTTCCAGTTTTGCTGGGTGCTGTTCGTTTATGCAAAAGGTAAGAGTTGATGTTTGTTCTGTATTTTTATTACTTAGCCTTCCTTATCTAAGAACTGTAAAGGCAACTATGCACCATAATACTTGCCTCAGGTGCCATTGAATGACTGCTGGGTGACTTTCCTTTTTTCCTTTTTTCTTCCTTCCTTGCTTTTAGGAAAGGTTGTGCTGCGTGCATTTGGTTTTCTTTGACAGTCAGTCAGAAGATTTGTTACATTAATGTTTTTGTTTTGATGATAGCTTAATTCTATTGTTATTTTACAGTTGTTTTTCCCCTAAAACATATCATATCAGACTGGAAAAGTAGCATGAACTTTACTTTCACAGAGCCATACTCTGCTACTCGCTTGCAAAATTCGTATTTGTCCTTTTCCTTGGAAATATTTGAATAGAGCTCATATTGACAACTGCCTTTTAGAATGTGGGACCCTTATGGCTAATGCGGCAGAATAAACATCAAATAAATAAGTAAAGACTTTCAAATTGCACATCTTCTGGTGTGTTGCTTGTTCTGAGACAATGTTGCCTATTAACATTTGATCTTTGATTAAGATTTTAATCAAGATGTTTGTGTCCTGTTCAAATTTACCACATCCTTTAAAAGAAATAACTGTAGAATTAAGTTGTTGCCAGTGCTCCGACAGTAGAGTAATGAATAATTTGCCAGACAGCAAGGGGTTTAGCTTCAAAGAGTGACAGAATACCAAAATAAAAGGCAGTATTTATCTGAAGTCAGCATGTTCTGAGATTACAGAAAACTTCCTATGGCCTCAGCTAACTGCTCTCTCCTTCCGTCAGTGAGAAGCACCCGAATGAGCTACTACCTACTGGTTATAATTTCGTGGTCACCTCTCATGAAATAAATAAGGCTTTAAAACAGGTGCTGTGCACTGCCGTAAAGCCAGAAAATCAGAGTAGGACATGTGCTTGTTTGATCTTGAAATTTGGGGGCAGTGGGATTGTGTTTGCTCTGTTTTTGAAGGCTTCTGCTCGGTTTCTCCTGGTAACCACACTGCACGGACAAGTTTGGGCTTGTCTGTGTGACATGCTTCCTAAGCGCAAAGAACAGCATTCGCAACTTCCTTTCTCTGCACAAAAAGTCCTGCAGAATTCTTGCTTGCTGCCTCTGGTGCAGATGGCTTAGCCTGCTGCCAAAAGTGCATGGTAAGATCAGAATTAAGATACTGTGAACTAGCATGATATTAGCAGCTTGGTTGATGATTAATGTTTATCCTGATTTTCACCTTTTAAATGCAGCAGCAGCAGCATCTGTACTTCATCTAAGGCTGAACACATCATCCTTTAAGCCTGTCCTTACATGTCATCTTTTTCCTGTTTAAGATTGTTGAAAGGAAATAGGTTCATTTAAGAAAGAAGAGAGCAGTTAGCCAATAGCATTGGAAATATTATTTTTTTACTGTATCTTAACAGAACTGTTGATAGTGAGTGTGGCTTCGTTCAAGTTTGTGTGTGTGCACACGCATGTGAGAGAATTGGTTAAAGTTTGGAGAGTTTTTCAATCGTTGCTTCTGTAGAGCTACATTGAAAGATATCTTAATATAAATGGCTGTGAGAAACATGAGAGCAAATTGTTAAAACAGACATACAGTCAACTTAGGACAAGTGTGTGTGTGTGTATATATATATATATAAATATACTGGAACATTTCCCCCCACCAAAAAAAAGGTAAACTGTACCAGAATGAAATTACCTGTTTATCTGTATTATGAGAGTTCTTCAAAAAGTTTCTGCACTTTTATATTTTATAAATATATTTTATATTTTTTGATGATGGTATTAAAAGGTTGGTACAATGCTGGGAAAAACGAATCGCAAAGGAAGGTGACTATATAGAAAATTGATGCAATTGGTTTTCTAAAACCTTAAATACAGTTTTAAAAAGTGCGGAAACTTTTTGAAGAACCCTCATTAATTTTATAATCTGATGTTGTTACTCTGGCTGTTGGTACAACAACGGGTGCTGTGGTATGCAGATGTCGCATTTCTTCATAATAAATTTAGAAAATTAAATGCACCCCCCTCCCCCTGAATTCCAAAGACTGCTTAAATGTGATTCGAACCCTGGTCCTAATCCCACAGGCAATTTCCCTATGATCAGCGATGATTTGGTCAATGCCTACCATCTCTTGCTGTGTGTCCTTGACCTCGTCTTTGCAAGTGCTCTGCAGTGCCCAAATCGGAAGGAGCTGCTGAATCCTAGTTTTAAAGGTGAGTTAGAATTACCCCTAAAGCTTTTCCAGTTATTAATGAGTTAGTTGCTTTTGGCTTTTCCAAGGAATACTTGGATAAATAGCACGTAACACATGGCAAAGAACTCTAAAAAAGAGATCATTTTTAAGAGCGGAGAGGGGTTTCACCCATGTGTCTTTACACGTAATTTTTCTCTTAACTTTTCTGAGATTAAGAGCAATCGAAGGGAGGGAGCATGTGGCATGTTTTTCAGCTTCCAAGAAACAATTCAGACATAAAGCAATAAAACATTTAATTGAAGAAACTGCTCTGTTGATTCATGCAAGTAGAAGCCCAGAAGTTGATAGCTTCTTGTGAAGTGCTTTTCACCTTTACTGTTTGTGATGGGGTGGTGGGGGAGATAAGTGCAAAATATTTTCACTTTTCTGTTTCCCTTTACCTTGCCATCCTGGGTTTAATGTCACAGGGCTGCCTGAAGATTTTCACAGTAAAGATTTTAAGCTGTTACCTGAACCTCCTTGTATCATTGAGAAGCTCTGCTCTCTACATGATGGGTTGGTCTTGGATGCCAAAGGCATAAAAGAACATTTCTGGAAACCTTACGTGAGAAAACTGTTTGAGAAAAAGGTATGCAGCTATTTAAAACCCCCGCCTATTTGCTCCAGAAATGATTGGCAGTGTCCCAGTGCTTGCTCTTAGCATTGGTTCTCTCTTCTTGTAGATTCTAAAGGGAAAAGAAGACAGTCTGACAGGGTTTCTAGATCCTGGAAACTTTGGAGAAAGTTTGTAAGTATTATGAAGCAGTTGTATCTGATTCCAGAGATGGCTTATTACAGTGACTCCATTATTCTGCTCCCCATCTCTCACAAAGCACTCTATCGTTCAGGCAGGGCTAAGTAACACTCTTTAGAGCAATGCAGGTGCAAACTTCATACCATTCTCAAACTAGCCACCAGATTTTCCAGATGGATACATGCATCCATCTGGAAAATTCATTTCCTTAGTCTCTTCTATGTGCAGGATAGATAAAGAAATTGCAGTAGTGAATTTGTATTTGTATTTTTGTTTTGTGTTGAGCAGTGCAACAATGGGAACATAACATGTAGCATTTTGCTTGTTTGACTTTTGAGTAGCAATTTTTTGGTTTGTTGATGCATTGTGATACAATACTTTAAACTCTTGTTGGATTGTTTTCAAGGTTTGGCAAAAAGTCACTTCTATTATTTTGAAGGAGGCTGTGTTAGCTTGCTTGTGCAGTGTCTCATGGAAAGTTTCATCTCTTTCTGTCTTAAAACTTTAAAGAGGCTTTAATCCTTTGTGACATTGTTCAACAAAGGATCTAAGGAAGGCCTTTTCACTGAAATAGAGGCCATAGCTACTGTTTTTCAATGCGTCTCACTATTCTTTTTGAAGTCTTTTATGATTTGAACACTTGCCTCTTTTCATTTTGGGCTGCAGCAAAGCCATCCACAAAGCCTATGAGGAGTATATATTGTCGGTGGGAAATCTGGACGAACGGATATTTCTTGGGGACGATGCGGATGAGGAAATTGGAACCCTGCGAAGGTGTTTGAACACGACCTCCGGAATGGAAACTGCCGAAAGAGTGCAAGTGAAGTGTACTTTGCAGGAGCACTTCGAGCGAGTGAGTGCAGCGGCGGCTGCCACGTGCTCCAAGCGGACAAATTGCTGTGTGTCCATACAGCTGTCCTGTCCTGTCCTGTCCTGTCCTGTCCTGTCCTGTCCTGTCCTGTCCTGTCCTGTCC